CAATTGGTTTCTTTTTCCAAGATGCAGGACTTTGCACTTATTCCTGTCAACTTTCACTCCGTTGTTTTTGGGCCAGTGCTCCAACCTATCAAGGTCATTTTAAATTTTGTTTCCGTCTTCCAAGGGTATTCCCTATCAAGGTCATTTTAAATTTTGTTTCCCTCTTCCAAGGTATTCGCTATTCCACTCAATTTTGTGTCATCTGCAAATTCCACGAGCATTCCCTGCCTTCCCTCATCCAAGTCATGAATAAAAATGTTGAAGAGCACCGGACCCAGGACTGAGCCCTGGGGTTCTAACAATTGAGATCACTGGTCCATTTAGTGGAGGACTGTCTACACCAGGGGTGGCTGGTCTCCAGAGGCCAGGGTGCATGTGCCATAAAATAGGGCAACCTCAACGGGTTCAGGTAGCCGGATCAGGGCTGACTCAGCCTTCCATCCTTCTGAGGGTCAGAGCGGTAAAATGATTACCTAGCTCATCCAGGTGGGCCAACATGTCGTTTGCATAACTGTGTTGTAAACCATCCAGAGAGTGCTCTAGCACTGTGGAGTGGTACAGTGGTGCCTCGCTAGACGATAATCCGTTCCACTGAAATCGCTGTTTAGAGAAATCATCATCTAGCGAAAAGCATTTAACCCATTGGAATGCATTGAAACCTGTTTAATGCGTTCCAATGGGGAAGAATTGTCACTGTCTAGCGAAGATCGGCCATAGGAAAGCCGCTTTGTGAACCGCCGATCGGCTGTTTAAATAGCTGTCTTCAGAAGCTTAGGTTCCGAAAACACCCATTTTGCGAGCGCGGAGGGAGCTGTCAAAACCGTCGTCTAGCGAAAATCGGTTTGCGAAGCAGGGACCAAACATTGTCCAGCGAAATTCCCCCATAGGAATCACTGTTTTGCGAATCGCTATAGCGATCGCAAAAAGTCAATGTCTAGCAGAAAAAACTGTCTTGCGGGGTAACTGTCTAGCGAGGCACCACTGTATATAAATCAAAACAATATCTTATCAAATCTTTGGACCTTGGAAAGAGGTTCCTGCACCTAATCCCATTACACATACACACACCAAACAATTTTACAGAAACTGTTTGGCCAAAAATTTGAGGGGTACGTCAGAGCTCCTAGGTATGCCCTCAACACAGGGCAAAAGGAGACTTTCTGAGCCAACTTCCCAGTCTTGATTATTTTTTTAAAACTTTCTGGAAAAATGGGGTGGGGGGAGCTCTGGACCACCTGCTGCCCACCCTGATCCACCTACAATTACTAACAGCAGCTCTACAAGGTTTCAGACAAAATTATTTTCCAGTGCTGGGGCTTGAACCTGCAACCTTCTGGAGGCAAAGCAGTTTCTCTGCCACTGAGCTACCGCCCTTCTCCTGGGCATTCCGCCAACCAAGCGACAGCGCCATGCGGTACGACAGTGGAACCAGTGACTTCGGGAGTTGGCGAGTGCTCCAACATTGGGGGCATTCAAGAAAAACTTGCATATATGCTTTGATTTGGATTCCTGCATTGCGCAGGGGGTTATAAGAACCTACAGTTGTGTTCAAAATTATTCAACCCCCAGTGCTGTAAAGGGGTTTAGGGACTATAGTGTACATTTGGAATTGTATTCAGAATGAAATCCTACAAGGACGTTTTAAAGAACCAAATGCAACTAAAATAACATCAATTGTTTATGTAATACAGTAGTAAATGTTTCTTTTGTGGTTTCTTCATTGCCACAATTATTCAACCCCTTAAAGACTACCACTCTGAAGAAGAGAGGTTCATTCAGGTGTTTTCGATCAGGTATTGAAAACACCTGTGGATGTCACCGAGCACCAATCAAGCATAATAAGCACCAATTAGGCAGCTTTAAAAGGACTGTGATACTCAGCTCCTTCCAGACAATTACTGGTGTGGTTACAAACATGGTGAAGTCAAGAGAATGGTCCAGGAAGACAAGAGAAGAGGTGATTTGTCTTCACAGGAAGGGCAATGGCTATAAGAAGATTGCAAAGAAGTTAAACATACCAAGAGACACCATAGGAAGCATCATTCGCAAATTCAAGGCAAAGGGCACTGTTGAAATGCTACCTGGTCGTGGAAGAAAGAAGATGCTGACTTCGACTGCTGTGCGCTACCTAAAGCGTAGAGTGGTGAAAAGTCCCCGTGTGACTGCTGAGGAACTGAAAAAAGATTTGTCAGATGTGGGTATAGAAGTTTCAGCTCAGACATAAAGAAAGAAAGAAAGAAAGAAAGAAAGAAAGAAAGAAAGAAAGAAAGAACCTCACTCTGGAAGAAGGCCTTGCTGAAACGCATTGAGCCAAAGCTTTTAAAGAATACAGAATAAAGAACTTGATTCTATTTTCTACATCCTCAGATTTCATCTCTCATTTATAATCCGGACTTCCGTGGATGTCCCACTTCCTTTTGTTTCGGATGGACTTGATGGCCTTGTAAGGTCCCTTCCAACTTAACTTTTCTATGCTTTCTGTGATCCTCAAGAGCAGCTGAAAATGCTTCAGGGGCTACGTCAGCCACAACGTATGGCTGTGTGAAAACCCAACCAACATCTGAGATTTTGTAAATGAACTTGGAGGCCATCTTTTAATGTACAGCGCAGGATTTTCAGGACCATTCTTCCGATGTCAAGAGTTCCAAGCAGAATTGGCCCAGACATACCAAAACAGAAGGAAGTAAGAAGAGCAACCAAGGATGAGGGCTGGCATAACTCTTTGCTGGAAGCAGACCATCCGCTGGGGCAGGACATGGAAAGACATCTCGACTGCCAGAGCAATTTGTTGCATTTTCTGAGACAAACCACAAGGAAATCAGAACAACCCAGCCACACCCTCTGTCAACATCGGCGCCTGTTTAGCCGAAGGGGGCTTGCAACTTATACAACGGGGCCGGTTCTGCTAACTCTGTTTCACGAGGCAAAGCTCAGTTGCTCTCCAAACGGAAAACAGAATCCTTCAACTGCTCGTGATTTAACAAAACCCAGAAAGGGCATAATATTTAGAGGCCCTGTCTTGCTTCGGCTCAACATTCTGGATCCAAAATGTTTGAGTCCAGCATGCAAGCACAGTGAATATCAAAAACCAGACTTTTATCCATTTCATCTCTTCTTCATCTCATCCCCAGAAACAGTCAAACTGTGGGACTGTGGATTTCAAATCACCTACGTGCACAAATATTTATTTAAAATATGTAAACTGTCACACCGCCTCCTGAAAGAACGGCCACCTTTTTTTTTGCACCAAAATAGCAAGAAAGGTGTAGATGAGAGAATTTAAGCATATGAACCACACCCAGAGTAGGGGGGGGAATGATTATAAGGAGCCATGGAAGAAGATCCGTGACTTGGCCACGGAAAAACACCAACGTTCTGTATTCCTATGCAAATGAAGTACTGTACATACGAACCACAGGGGCTAGGAACTTGGTGCATTAGGTTCCTGCTTTCTAAATAAATAAATAAACAAACAAACATAGAATCTGAGCTTCTCAAGAATCCAAAACACGTGTGTAATCACATTAGGCTCAGAAATATTCCGCATGTGGAACTGCACAAAGCAAACAGCCCCGAATGCGGGTAAAGTTTGTACAGCTTTAGAGGAATGCCATTTGCCAACTCCTATACAGCTATTCCTAGACTGGAATAAACTGGCCACAGTGGTCTACGTCAGCGGTCCAAGGCAATCTCACTGCAAGGCCCTCAAATTCCCTTGAGGCTAGTCCAGAAACTGAAATCAAGCAGCAAAGTTAAGGGAAATCCTCTTGACGGTATATCACACCGTTGCCAAGATTAAGTCATCGGCCGCTGGTTTGCTAGCAAACAAATATTCAAAGATCTTGTGGTAAGCATACAAAGCCTAAAAAATATGGACCAGGTTACCTGGCCGGTTTTTCCCCCTACCCTCACTTTAGGAGAGGGACCATCAGTGGTACCTCGTTGATCCTGACATTCTCCCTGCGACCAGAACTTAAAAGAACTTTTCTGCATTAATCATTATAATCGTGCGCCATCAAGTCATTTCTGACTTTTCAGGGTTTCCTAGGTAGAGAACACACAGAGGTGTTTTACTATTCCTTTCTGGGGGGGGGGATCCTAGGACTGTGTGAAGCTCGCCCAAGGCCACACAGGCTGTCTCCCAAGGAGGCATAATAGGGAACCGAACCCCCCAACCTCTGACTCTGCGGCCAGGTATCTAAACCACTAAGCTAAAATCACTTATGCTGAATGAATTCAAAGAGTTGCAACCAAAACAGTAACTTTTCCCACGTTCTGCTGATGATTCTTAAATATGCCTTTCTCTCCTGTGAAATCAAGTCTCTCTGGATACGAAGCAAATACATCAAGGTCTGAGCGTTAGAGGTTTACCTAAATTCTTCCAGTCTTTCCCTGACTGATAATCCTGTTGCTGACCGGGTGCTGATTCATTTGCAGGTTATATTTGTTCCTTCACCGAATTCTTCTCCAAAGTAAGATATGTATTTTTGTGAGGAAGAAGCCCATCTACAGGTAGATACCTGATGTCTCTAGTCTATAGCTCACCTGAACAGGGAAAACCATGGGAAGGACAGGTATACCCACCTTGCAGAGCCATTTTATCTTCAAAGCTCTTTCACAAACACACGCACCCTCGGGTTGTACTAGCTCAGTTGCCCATCCCTCAAAACAGAGGAGGCCCATCTTGCTGTGGGTCTCCTGCGCTGACAGAAGACTGGACTAGAAATTCAGTGGTCCCCAATCTTTGGCCTCCAGATGTTCTTGGACTTCAATTCCCAGAAATCCTGGCCATCAGAGGTGGTGGTGAAGGCTTCTGGGAGTTGTCGTTCAAGAACATCTGGAGGCCCAAGGTTGGGGACCACTGGACTAGATGACCCATCCCCACCCTACAGTTTTATGACTCTACATGACCCATCCCCACCCTACAGTTCTATGACTCCCCTTCCTTTTCACCAGGACGTGGCCCTCTTCAGCCCAAACCAACCCAGGAGGTTCCTTACCTGCCACAGCAAGTTCTCTTCATAGGCCACTTTCACCTCCTGCTGCTGTTGAGCGATGGTCACTCCCAGTACCAACGTGTGGATCCCGCAGGAGATGGACGAGATCAGGACGATGGGCGTCAGGCGCAAGGGGAGGGTGAGGAAGAAGGAGAAGACGAAGAAGGCTTGCCAGCCCACCGTGTCGCTGGCCTCATGGTAGCGGGCGAAGTTCAGCCCCAGGTAGCAGAATATCTGGGCCACGATGAGGATCCACAAGACGTAAGGCACGAACTTCCGGGTGACTCTGTCTGGCAAGAGTTCGAACTTGCATAGGACGAAGAGGAGGATCTGGGTCGCCAGGCCCACCGAGGCGGCCAAAATAGGGGCCAGCTTCTCTGAGGCGTAGACCACCGTGCACGTAATGATCACGTAGCAGTCGAAAAGGGCAGCGAAGACCACCAAGACTAGAAGGGTCTCATGGCGCTGTCGCCGGAAGTAGGTCTGATAGAGGTTCTCGAGGGACTCCGGGGCGAACGTGAGGCGCATAAAACGCGGCAGGCAGAGGCACGAGCCGGAGCTCCTGACGGTCACCTCATGGGTCCGGCCCACCCCGTGCTCGGGGTCGGAGGGCAAGCTGACTGAATAGTCGGCAGAATATTCTGCCGAATATTCGGGCTCGGAGAAGGCCCTGTTCCGGGGCATCTTGGTCATTGGCGACAGCCGTTCCTCACGAAATGATAGAAAAGGACGGCCTGACCGCTGGAGGTTCCCTCCGGACGGGGGAAGCCGCTTCCATGAACACCAGACCAGCGGCCTGGCCGGTCAAGGCATGAAAGCTTCGGGAGCAGCTCCGGATCCGAGAGTCTTCCATGCCGGAGGAAGAGAAAGAAATCAGATCAGACAAATACACAACCCGGGAGGCCTGTGTTTACCCCCCCCCCCCGGGCCCACCCTCCTCCAGCAAGCGCGGCATCCCCAAAACAAGCTGGCAGTAGGGATTCCCCCCCCCCAGTTCCTCCGCAGCCTTCACCCAAACATTTTCTGTCTTCCCCCCCCCACATGCCTGCAAAATTAGCTTTTTTTAAAGGAGGAAGGGGGAAAGAGGCCAAACCCCAGAGAAAAGGGCTCCCCAAAGGTCCCCGGCTGGGCCACATCCCCTCAGGTCCCCACCTGGCTGTTCAAAGATGATGAACTGCCCCTCTCTGGTGATGCTCGTGACCCCCCCA